GTCTTTAACTGCCAGTTCTACCTCTCGTGTCCACCATGAAGATCTTTTCTGACCTCCAGGCGACAGACCAACCCGTTTATATCCGCAGCATTCGCCTGTAGCCTCGAGTATGCCACTCTTAATGAGCTGCCACTCGGTTTCAACATCAGTTGTCATCACTGGGATCTGTTCAAACCGTAGGCGATGTTGTTTGCAAATTTCGCTCTCGTATCCAAAAAAGATAATGTTTCCCATTTGATTGTCCAGTGCTTCTGGCACCAGACTGCAACAACTTCATGCGTTATTGTTGAGGCCATTAGCGCCGTATTTCCGATCACTGCTTTCCGTTTTTAGTGTGTGCTTCGGCGTGCCATTAATATCACCCATTAGAATAAAGCACTCCGCAGTCGACCGTTTGACTTTGTACAGAGCACGCCCTCCTTCTTCAAGGAAGGACTAATATTCTAACTCCAAATTGGTAGCATATACCTTTTACAAGGTCAGTGCCTTATCCTCCTGTAGCTTTAGTCGGAGAATTGCCACTTTTCCGCTGACAGCCTTCCATTCAATGATTCTTTTAGCAGAGCTACCTGAACACAAGCACCGGCCTGAGCGCGGGTCGCGATATCGACACCTGAGTAGAATTACTTCCACTCGCAGAGGTTCAGGATTATAGAGCCTTGGCGCTTAGTTGAAGATGTCCAACTATGTCGAGTTGGTACCTTGCGGCTTCATGAACTAGGTCCTGCTTTTCCCCGGTTAATGAGGATATGTAACCTCCTATTGACGGTGTCTTTCCTGCTGAGCCTTTTCCCACGTACTCTGATGATATCGCACTGTCTGGCGCCTCCAATCAGAATGTGTCGCGTCTTAGCTGGCGATTGGTCGATATTTGGCAGCAGTTGTCATGCTGTTACACCCCCTGCTGCCAGAAGGTAGGTAATGGGTCCTGATGGCAAACTTTTCGCAGCCGACGCGGTCGTTGGTAACCCGGGCGACGACTGAGTCGGTATAATTTTCGATGACGGCAAAACCGTGAGAGGCCATGTGACTAAGTTTCACGTAGACTTCGCCGCGGTCTCCAAGCCTCCGTTTTTCCCATCCGGGCTTGAGATCGACAGTGGCGGAGTTGGTCAGCGACCCTATCCACAAAAATCTATCACTGCCTTGTCTCGGTTGGGGGAGCGTTGCTGCAGGTCAACGAATGAGTTGTGCAAACGAAGGAGCAAGAACGATGGTTGAACTGCGTACAACAGGCCTGGTTTCGATTTATAATGGTGGTTGGACGGAAGGACTACATAAGAAATGACTCTGTTTGGTTCCGGGTATGGGTGATTTCAGTTGATGAGCAGATTAAGGAAAGAACGTTGGCCCCCTTTGGCAAACTAGTCGAGCATAAATCATTTACTTTAGTCCATGAGCTTCTCGCATTCAAGCCGAAACTCGGCAGACATCGACAAGGAGGCAAGCATGCAACGCGGGGGACAAGGTTGGGGCAAATCTACTTTCTACAATGCAATAACCGGTGTCTTATAGTGAAAGTGCTGTAAAGCTGCTTGAAGTCGTTCATGTATAGTTCTGCTTAAGCGCGTCTCAAATTGATTACCTCATCAAGTACAGTTGCTTGATTTCACCGTAAATGAAAAAGGTGAGTGCGAAATTATGATTTGTAAACGTCCGCGAACAAAAAGAGCGTCTATGAGATACCTGAGGCAAATATGGTAAACTGGCGGCATCAGAGACTCTACGAAGTTCCGATTGGTCAGATGTCTGACTTGATTGGCTAAAGGGCAGGTTTGATCAAGGAATGTCATCAAGCATTTAAATTACTCTATAATTAATCCGTTCAAAGAAGGCTTTGAGTAATCATTGAAAGATAGATGGGTGATTAATCGCAGACAGCTGATAAAGTTTCCGTTACCTTTAACGATGGTCCGTAAATCTCATGATCATTATGCAGATCACTGTCCTGCTGTGTTTTGGCTGATGTAGGATTTTCGCACGTGAATATGAGGTAGAACATTCCGCTATCTCACTTAGGTTTTAGTTATTGACTAAACGAGCGTTTGTGATGTTTATGCCTTTCTCACTTGATTTGTGATCAACAAATTAGGCGGGAAGTGAAATAGGCTCTTATTATGCTAGCCTTATCAAATGATCGTGCTGGAATGCTCATTTTCATCCTGTCCAAAAGTCAATCGTAAAATCGTTAATTAACGAGACTTGTGCCAATCACCTGGTCTAATGCCCGTATACGAAAAGTAGCAGTTGCTTATAGCAATAGACATGACCCAAAATTGAATCGTTTCCAGTCTGTGACTAAGCTAAGATGAAAATAATATTGTTAGAAGCAGGTAGGTTTTCTGATTCCACGGCTGGCAGCATTGGAATCAGAAAACCTATCCCCTTCAAGTCGCCTACTGCACCGTATGGTATGAACCTCAGAAAATAATACTGTCAGATTTCGTTGTATTTTTAATCCTTTCATATGGAGGAATAAATGTCATTGCACAAGACGTTGTTGATTTTCATTGTTTCTCCACCCGCTCCCAAAATGTACCGCCATTTTCAAAGCTGGGTGAGATGCTGAAACGTCAGTAGTAGCACAATCAAGATCACTGATGACACGTCTCGCTGAAACGTTGTTTAAAGTTCATCTTAGGCGGTGAGCCGTTTGTTATTCATTCCGCTTAGTTGCATTCGTCTTTAATGGGGTTTTTGATAATCTTTAGAAAAACCTTCAGTAGATAAAGTTGGAGCAATTTTTTCTCACTTTCAGTACTGCGTTTCCAGATGACTACAGTCAAAGCCAACGATCTTCTATTCGAGGAAATTTCATATCCAGACACAGCCACTGTTTCAAACAAGACTAGCAGCAGTTTCAGGAAGCTACCACAACGGCCTCATTTTTCTGACCATGTGATTCCAAGACTAAGCCGTATCAGGTCATTCAGTGCATCCTGAACGCATCATACGCACTGCTAGCCGTTCTAAGCAAAGCTAGACTGGCTGTAAGCCAACCCCCCAAAAAAATGCACTCCTGACAAAGTTATGATTAAGACGACTAGCCATGATCATATGTCATCGTCAATCTCGAGGACTAACACAGAATGTATTGGAACCATAAGCAGAGATATTCATACGTATGATCTTCAGCACATGCACGTTTTGCGTATTTGGCATAAGCGATAATGTTCATGTAGTATATCGATAATCTGTAGGAAAAATTTACTGAACGAAAGCAGTCATGCAGATATTCTCCAGAGTTCCTGCCGATGGTCAATCCGCGTCAATAATCGCTTTGAATAAGCGGGCCTTAAAAGTCATGTGTAAAGTATAAACAAGAAAAGGTTTTAACTGGAATGTCGGCATTCCTTTCATGGAGCCATTCTTTTCATGGAGTTAATGGTGGAAAGCTGATCCTTGTTTTCATGTCATGAGCCAGGAATGTCTTATTTTAGAGACAGATTCGACAGCAGCAGTATCACAAGCATAGTGTGTTGACTCCTGTTTCCTTCCCACGGGTTAACACTCATTTATCAGGCCCAGAGAGAAGAAGGGAGAGTTACTCAACTGGGACTCGAGTTGAAAATTTCTTGGTACAGAATCCATGCTCTATCGACCGAGCAACCTCAGTCTAAAGCAACGATGGTAGATTCCTTCATTAGAGGAATTTGTGGTTAGGACGAACGTAATCCTCCACCGGAATCTCATCAGCACCATTGGAATTCGAAGTCGATTCTTTGGGCGCTGTGCCACCACGCCACGATAGACAAATGAACCAAACTTGAAAAAGTGACTCCCCAGCAGCTAGTGTTTACGTAGATGTTTAGTCAATTCAGCATGTGGAGCAATTGCGATACAACGAGAACTTGCAGAACTTGCTGGGAGGTTGCAGACCCACGATACTGTCTTACTCGGTCATTAACTCAATGTTACGTGTCTGACCGTCGAGCCTCATGTCCTACCGTAGCAAATCAAATGCCGCTGTATCAAATAAACGTTCTGCCGATGCCGTTGAATGGAACCGACATTTGAATACTGATAAAAAAGATAAATATCGTTTATCGATAGTCCTTACACATAAGAAAATAGAAAACAACACCAAATGTTTTGCGATTAAGTCCTGACCGTCTCCATCTCTGAAGCCATTGGACGTCGGTACATAATTGATATTGCCGGGCGTCTCTGAAATGCACTGTTGGGCAATCCTTGACGCTGCACAAGGTGGTCAGGAGTAACCTTCATGCCCTTTTCACAGACAACCAGTCAGTCATAAACACTCATCTTCTACGTCAGTAGTTATCATCAGATGGCGTGAATTATAATAGAAACAGTTACAAAACTCATCTATTGCATGTTCATCGGTGACATAGTTACCATTTGGCAAAAGTGCCTCATTTGACCGTACAGCAATTCTACCATTACAGCTTCCAAACCACGTTGTTCTTCCGGAGGCTGTGATCATTCATGGTAGTGTCTGAACGGTACATTGCAAACAGTAACTCAGAAATAAACGACAGACCTCGAAACGCGAGGACCACGCAGCCTCTCCTTCATCCCACCCCAGTTATGGAAGAGTTTATTGTTGCTGCTGACAGATGTCACGGTTCATTAGCTCTTTGTTTCACTGAAGCTTTAACATTAGAATCGAAAGTCAAGGAAACAGATCTGAGTAGGGGCTAACTAGGCTGAGCAGTCTTCAAGATTCCGACAAACTCTGCTGAAGAAGAACCATGAAATACTGTTCGGCATGTTGGTACTGCTAATTTGCTTGCCGCATATTTGCTAGGCGTTCACAGCTGATCGTCTGTACAGTAGTTCAATAACTCCTGCCGTTGGTTCAACGTTGTTTCTACATTCAAGAAACAGAGGGGCACATCCCATGATAGTTGCATTAAGCATTTGTTTTGCAATTTGTTTCGTACACATTACACAAGCACATTCAATATCAACCAACGCAAAAGTTCTGAATGATAAAACACGCGATGATATGAGTAATTAATAATTAAAATTATGTTCAACGCCTCTTAAATAATAGAGAAATTGCGCATTCTCGGGTTCGTCGAAGCGTCTTCCAAAACAGCAATTCACTATCTTGATAATAAGTTGAACTGAATCAATGTATTTCTTTTTTATGTGGGGGTTTCAACGAACTGCTTCGTCTTCGTTTCGTTCAGGTTTTGTTCCGTTTGCAAACCACCAATTAAATTCCATGCGGATGGATGGTGCGAGTCGATAATTTGCGAAAACTCTCGATGCCAATATTTCTAAGGCATTATTCGTTTTTGGAAAGCCCTCATGGATAATGCCAAAACAATTCCAAACTGTTAGAGCGTTTCCCTCGTGACTGACTTCGGTCTGGACGACCAATCCAGTAGTTACGAAGTAGTCTATGAGTACTTGTGATTTCATCCGATAATCGTTCATTTCTAAATCGACCTCAAATGTTTCCTCAACGTGCTGCACTGGCACGAAGGATAGTGCAACGAGCATTCGGATTTTAAGGCGAGGCTAGCTACCATTCGTTGAGCATCTTTGCTGGAGAGGGTTCGTCTAAATGCTTCCGTGGTTGCACTGGTCATAGTGACAAAAGCACCCACGATGCGAAGCGTCTGTAAAGCTTCTGCGGAAATTTTTAACGGCTGCAAGCTCAAAATCACTCGGTACCGATTGAGGTGCCAAACTTGGTTCTAGGTACTTCAGGGCGTCCAAACAATTAGCCTCCGTTCTACGTGGCAGCAAGTCAATTACTGATGGTATAACGTTGGGGCACGGTTTCCCGTGGATCGTATACAATTGCTGAAACAACAGAGCCACTGTTTCAAATGTTCCATCGGCGTGCCAGTTGCGAGAACTGCGACAATAGTCGCAAATTATTCCTGATAGAAAATATTTCGACGATCGTTATCAGCTGCACTGTCTTGCATCAGGAAACCTTCACAGCCAAGCGTCTGCTTGCACCCTCCCAGCAGCACTAATTCATTTTGAAGAGGTTTCAATTGATAGTCCGACGAGCGATACAACATTCTGGCGTCTGACAGTCTGCTTCATGCCGGACGGATGGCAATTTTCCAGCTACTGCTTGTGGCAGACCTACAGGAGCCGAGGCTACAATCTCATAGGTGGAACCCTGAAGCGCTATGGCACGTTCCTTCTGTTCTTCGATAATTTTCCCTACATCTATTTCGCTGAATCGGCAGGGTGGCTGTGTTTCCTGATTGACAATCTGGCACGAGATTTGTTCGTCCAGACGAGTTCGCACTTTCACATCACCTTTTTTCGTTCTCTTTGTATTTGATAACCAAGTGACGCAGATGCAGTAACTTCGGCTTCCCCTACAGGTGCTCGGAATCAGCTGCACAGGCACTTCTTGACGATTATCTATTTGAATTACTGCAACTATTATAACAATTGGTTTTCTCGACCAACTGTCATGCCCATAACACGTGACGTAGAGCAACTATTAAGACGATCAGTCATGCGGCGAGAAAACTGATGTGAACCCGAAATGTCAGGCCAAAGTTTGATAAAACATGTTTGCTTCACGTGATGTTGAAAAGTTTCAAAGTTGTTATGGAAATGTAGTATTACAACGTACGGAGCATATTATAACTTTAAGCACATAAATTTACTATTGCCTTATAAACAGTATTACATACTGACGGTTTTTTGTTCATATGAGTGGCCATTCTTTTTCTCCGGTGCTTTCACTATTTAAAAGTCGTTGTCGTGTTCTTCATTTTCATCATGATTATTACCGTCGTTACATTTGTCATCATCATCAACATCATCTTTAGTCCATTACTCAGCATTCTGCATGTTTGGTGGAACAAATCCTCATCGACAACAGACCATCGTTTTTCTCTACCCTGCCTACCATCAAATCTTCATGATCAAACTTTAAGTTCCTACCTTAGCATTCAACGATCAGATGGGCTTGGTCGATTGCTTTCTAAATGATTGAATTACGCCAACTTTATGCCTTGAGTGCCCTACGCATGCTAATAAAGGCAACTAATGCCACGGCGAGTTCCGTTCAGGAGTGTACTGTACTGTCTTTCCACCGATGTTCTGGATGTGTCATAACCGACTTTGTTTTAGTCTGTTCTGTCAATATCTGTGAACTCTCATAAAAGGCGCCGCTTTCGGTCTGCACGCAAAACCGACCAAACTGCAGAGAGGTAAACAGAGCCATAACGACGACTGATATTCTTTTTCCAGTTCGGACTGCGAAAGGTTTACGAAGGTACAACTTACTTTGAGTTGTCGAATACCGCCGATGCTTTCACTCGGGTCATGATTAGCTTAACAGCCTCGCTTGCACTATATTATTAATGATACATAATGCGCATGATGTGGTTTCTCAGAACTTTCGAAGTACTAACTGCTACAACAAAGGAAATACTCTTTTCGAGAGTAAATCTGCTTCTAGTAAATTTTTACGGTTCATAAACTGACTTCATGTCCTTCCGCCTCTGGTGGTCGGCTGATGTAGGTCATGTTTTCAATCATTTGAGCCATTTTAACAAACCATGAAAACCACCGCTCTCTTAGTTCTTCATGGTGCATCCTCGTTCCGATGGTTTTGAGCATGGATATCGTTCGTTACTCGATAACACCACCGAATCTTGAGGATGTGGTCAGACAGCGCTGTTGGAAGCAACCTAGTTTGGCTTCAAGGCGCTTCAAGACTGTAGCTGTTTCGAGCTAATACAGAAGAATGGGGAAGACCACTTCGTTACGTACACCATGGCGCTTTGGAAAGTTCGCTGCTACGAGTCATTTGAACCCAGAGAGTTGCAACTCTCGTCAATGGAGGTGACCAGCTTAGACCTATATTGCTAATTTCCTTACCGTCGTACTATTCTACTTGATTTCGACCGCGATCGTTGCCGCTGGTACCCTAATCTCCATGGTGTTTGTAAAGTCAGTTCGTACCCCTCCCCTCCCCCCACCTCACCTCTTCCCCTCTGAATTGTTGCACACATTAGCAATGAAAGTTTCCAAGCCACTACCGGAGTCGCTCAAAAAAGTGGTCACCTGCATACCTCAAGTCAGTTAGGTAAACTGAAACGTTCTAATGTTTAAGTCTTTGGTCTCGTTAAGGACACGCCTTTCTGAATGCAAGATTACGACACCGATGCATTTGTTAGAGTCCGTTAAAAAATTTTTGAAACATCTCATTATCTCGTAATTTTCAGATGACAACTGATCCAACTGAGGCTGGCTAATTGTAATCACTGAGCAAACAAACGGCGCGTTTCAGGGGTACCAGTAATGTTTTCACTGCTATTGGCCCGCGTATCGATGTTCAGGCTTCTTTAGTCATGCATATTTATTTGCTAACGGATCGACAGACGATGGCCCTTAAGCAGTGATGAGTAGTTGCCCGCTTTAATGAGCAGTAGTTCATCAGCGTTCGCAGAAATATCGAACGATGTGGATCCGCTGCTCTGCCCTCGCCTCTTCAATACTAATTCTCGATGGTTGACCGGACGTATTTAGGTGTTTTTAGAGTTTCCAGTGTTTGCAGCTTCTCGAAGAACGCCGTTCGTTAGGAGGAGGCCGCGGAGGAGGTTCGAACTGGATCAGCAGCGGCCGGTATCATTTCGTCTGAGAAACGTGCTGCTTTCCTCGGTGCTGGATTGCTGGTCATCTATCAACTGTCCGTTGTTTTGGCATTTGGCACCAATTTACCGGCGTTATTTGACACGGCATTCTTTGAGTGTGGCATCGAAGGCGAGGGCCGGTAACGGGAGAGGAAGCAATGACGACGAGTAGATTCTGAGAGAAGCAACCTAAGTCGACGAAGGAGGTTCTGCCTGCTCGCAAGGCAGCCCAATCAGCGACGACCGACGCAAACCATCCGAGCCAAGCGATTGGCAACAAAGACGATGACGATAGCCGACGACCACGACGTCAAACTGCCGTCCTTGAACTGTAGCTACACGTCGAACGTATCGATGGAGGTGGCAGCGACGGCAACCATCGTAAACGATTTCGGCGACATGCTGGACATCGGTGAAGGTCCCACGATGACCACTCAGAAGATCATCATCTCCTCCATTTACCTCGTACTCTCGTTGGCGTTCTTCTGCAACGTCGCCGTGACGGTGATCGTCGGCAACATCCTCATCAAGGCTCACGGCACACTTGCACACCCTCAGATGTTCGTCTACATTCTATTCTTAAGCATGGTAGACGCGCTGGTGCTGATGCATCTGCCGCTGGTAATTGTCGACATCATTACCAACAAATGGGCATTCGGCAGAGTTATGTGTAAAGTGTATTGGACGCTGGAAAACATCGGTAAGGTACTGTCGACGTTTGTGCTAACGGCGGTCAGCGCTGACCGTTACCTGGTCGTTTGTCATCCGAACCGTTTCGTATGGATGCACACGGTCCGGGCGGCCATGTTGATGCTGTTCGGCAGCACGACGGCCACCATCCTGTTGTTGTACCCGATCTACGTACACAGCGACGTGGTCATCATCCAGTTGATCCAGAACGAGACAGTCGCCAAGTGCGTCTTCGCCTGGGAGTCGGACAACGAGTGCAAGTTCGTTCTTTATATATTCTCGCTTGGCTACTTCACACCCCTCTGTCTGAAGGCGTACTTCTACACGAACATCATCCTGTCCATCCGAAGGAGCAGCAAGGTAATTCGCATGAACACGGGCCGAGAACGCCAGATCCGTAAGCTAACCTTCCGTGTTTTGACCTTGGTTGTCTTCTACTTCTTCTGCTGGACGCCATACTGGACGATTACCTTCCTCATATGTTACACCGAGATTCAATTCAGCAAATGGTGGGTGGTAGGCTTTTATTCGGTCTACGTTTTGGCCTACCTGAACTCGGCCATAAACCCACTGTTGTACGCCCTGCTGAACATGGAGCTACGCAGGCAACATTCTTTCGTCTCCCAGCGCAATTCTCGACTCGGCTACGAGAGGACCAGGCTATTCGTTGAAAGCAATGAATTTCACAACAGCCACCCACAAACGTCATCTCAGGAGTCAGATCATTTTTGAGTATCGGCGTGCTTTTCTGAAGATACTGAAAAGTCAACTCGCGCTCGGTGGATTTGGCATA